TTTTTTTTTTTTTTTTTTTGCTTGGGGCAGCAAAAAAGCCAGAGCCGGCCCTGCTGACAGGCTGGAGGGAATTGGCTGTCTGTGCTCAGGATTCACAGCCATGGACTTTTTCCTGGAGTAGGCACCCATGCCAGATTAGCCTTTTCTTGGGGGTGGGGAATAGTGAGAAAATACCACCCTACAGCCGCCCCCCGACTTACGCAATCGTTCTGTTCCGGAAAGCCTTGCGTAACTTGAATAAGTCAGAAACGTATAATCGTATGTGACGCAAAAATTTCCGCAACTTGAAAAACCTATTTCTGGGTTATGGAACTTTTTCCAATAGCCAAGTGATTAAGTCACTCACCTGGGAGTGGGGAGACTTGTCTTAAAATCCCAACTCTGTTGGATTTGGAGCAGGGACTTGAACCCAGGTCTCCCCTCTCCCAGGAGAGTGCCCTCACCAACAGGCTATCAGGTATTCTGAGGTTGGGCTCCCTGAAATCTCTCATGTTGAAGCTGTTCCATTTTGTATACATATTTACTGCGTGATTTCTTGCCATTTTTCTGACTCTATAGCTCAGTGGTTAGGGTCCTCACCTGGGATGTGGTCACTCGGCTATTGGGTATAATGGGATGTACACACAGGGGAGGTAATGCCCAGTCTGAGAATCCTGTTGGGGTTTTGGCATGAGCTGAGGCACCAAGCAGCTTGGCATCAGGATGTAGGCAGTTTTGTGCATGCCCACCAGCAGAAACTCATGTGCCTATAGGGTTAGGTGGCAGCTGACCAGTGGATTTGTGAATGTCAGTGGTACCTAAATGTTGGGAGGCCAGTAGTGGCTTAAGTCCCTTGTGAATCTAGCCCCTGTCCTACCAGTACCCTGATTCCTGGGGTACCCACTAATGTATTTTGATTTCACTATGTGTATTGGAAGATGCTATCTCTTGCTTCATAGTTAGCAAGTTTCCTTAACAAATACCTGGTGAAGTACTCGTATCAAAAGGTCTTAGAAAAAGTCTAAATATCCACCAATTCTTCTTTGTTACTATTTTGTTAGTTGCTGAAGCAATTTTAAAGTTCCACCCTCTTTGGTTAGCCCAGGACTCTAAATTCAAAATCTTATTTATTTATGGTAGCACCCATTATGTACTAAGTGCATTTCAAACACTGAAGAAAGATTGTGGCTTCTCTGCAGAGCTAACAATTTAAGGACACCCTTAAGGACACAATTTAAGATTAAGGAAAGGAGACCAGGAACAAAAATAGTCAGTTTATATACAAGTTAATTTGATTCACTGTAAGCAATATGAACTGCTGGTGCATGGCATCTTGCCGAAAAGTGGTATCACAAGTGATACCAGCGCTGTGGGAAACTCTTTGAGGCAAAGCTCTACTAGTTTTAATGAACGTGAAATAGGGAACATATTATTAAGAGATGAGACTGAGCCATGCTTTTTGAGAATAGGCTTTGTTACCTTTCTGCTTAAAGGTGACCTGAAAATGAATATGACCATCTGTCTGCTCCTTTATCCCCTTGCTTTTTACAACAGAAATTCAGGTCTTCCCTATCCTGAAAGATTGTGTGGCCTTATCTACACTAGGGATACTTTTGAAAATTTTCTTACTGTGCCTAACATTAATTCAGAGAATCATAGAAAT